GTGCGTGTGTGTGTGTGTGTGCGCGCACGCTGCCCTGTTGAGAGGAGCTGACTCACGCCTGCCCATTGTCTCACTTACTTTCCCCTCCGCTGTGGTGCAGAGGCCTTTCCGGTTTCCCCGGAAACAGTGAAACACGGGATGTGGTGAGGTCACTTCCCCTGTGTGCGGAAGTCCCGGAGCTGGACTCTGATTTTTGACGTTAACAGACTGGCAGTTAGTGTCCCTGGCAGTGAGTGTCATGCCTGTGGGCCTGTGCGTGCCACCGGCATGTCCTCCCGAGACCTGCAGGTCCTGTGAGAGGAGCTTAGGGAAGGGATGGGGGGAGCGAGGGGAAGGTACCCGGAGCACAGGCTGCGGTTTTTACATTCATCCTCACCGGATGATCGACTTTTAAAATGTACTGGATGTTCAAATATAGGTATTTCCATTCATTTTTTTAAGGGAGTGGAAGGAAAGGAGGGGGGGGGAAAGAAAGCAAGAGGAACATGGATGTGAGAGACGGATGCCTCTGGATGGGCCCCCACTGGGGTGGGAGATTGAACCTGCAAACCAGGTCGGGCTCTTGACTAGGAATCGAACCTGAGACCTTTTGGTGAGCTGGCTGATGCTGTAACCACTGAGCCACACCCGTCACATTATTCCACATGGGAAATATTTGAATAAAAAATCATGCTAACACTGATTTACAAAGATGTTGCATATAATCTAATGTAGGGGCAGACTTCAACCTGCTTGCTTTCAGTCACTTAAATTTCTTCCAAAACAGAAGTTCTGAATCGAGGCCAGTGGCAGGTGTGGGTGGCGAGGGGCAGAGGGGCCCGCAGGCCTGTCTTAGTGGATTAGAGACAGCGCTGAGTCAGCTCGGCCGGGGCTTAGCGGGGACTGTGACCCAGGAGGGGAGAAGACGCCCAGCCTTGGGGACCAGAGGCTTTGGGGGACTCGGGGCAGTGAAGAGAAAAGCAAAACCAGCAAACGTAAGTAGAACTTGTGAACACGGCTCGGTGGTTGGTTTTGTATAAGCTGCACAGCCAACATTGGAAACGGAGGGGAAGCTGCAGCCACTGACGCTAATGAACGTGGTAGTCATCCTTCACATTTTTTAAAACGACGCCTGTTTTGTTCTTTTAAACTAGCTGTGGTCATGTGGCATCGCCCAGGTCCTGCCGTCTGCAGGGCTGTTCTCGGCGGCCTGCTGGAGCTGCCTGGTGAGGAAGCTCCACTGGCCCTTTTCACTGAAAATAGGAGACCGTGGGAGTCTTTTTTTTTTTTTTTCCTTAATGTATTTTATTGATTTTTTACAGAGAGGAAGGGAGAGGGAGAGAGCCAGAAACATCGATGAGAGAAACACCGGTTAGGGCCCTGTGAGTCTTCTTGGTTCCTGGGCCCGGATAAGCGTAACTTTTTTTTTTTTTTTTTAATATATTTTATTGATTTTTTACAGAGAGGAAGGGAGAGAGATAGAGAGTCAGAAACATCCATGAGAGAGAGTCATCGATCAGCTGCCTCTTGCACACCCCCTACTGGGGATATGCCCGCAACCAAGGTACATGCCCTTGACCGGAATCAAACCCGGGGCCCTTCAGTCCCCAAGCCGACGCTCTATCCATTGAGCCAAACCGGTCTCGGCAGCCAAACCGGTCTCGGCAAGCGTAACTTTTTTGAAGAGGAAATAGATATGTAAGAGATAACGTGAGAATAAAGGCTGCCCCTATGCCTGTGTCTTTCTTCAAAAATGACCGCTAGTAACATTCCCTTGTGTCTGTAGAACAGGTTGCTTAGCCAAAACCGCTTTGGCTCAGTGGATAGAGCATCAGCCTGCGGACTCAAGGGTCCAGGGTTCGATTCCGGTCAAGGGCATGTACCTTGGTTGCGGGCACATCCCTAGTAGGGGGTGTGCAGGAGGCAGCTGATCCATGTTTCTAGCTCTCTAGCTCTCTTCCTTCCTCTCTATAAAAAAAACAATAAAAAATGTTTTTTAAAAAAGAACGAGGTTGCTTACCTTCGCATAGATGTGTCCTGTTCATGGACAGAGAGGGCCTCACCTTCACGCACTGTGCTGTGTGGTTTCTTTCCTGCGGTGCTAGGTGGTGGGAATGGGGAAGCCTCTGTGGGATGCGGTGCCTGGCAGCAGCGGCTGCCCAGGGCCTAGGATGGGCGTGGTGTCCGCCTCTCCACGATCACCCTCTGGGGCCGGGGCTGTCAGTGCGCCCAGCAAGGTGGCCTGGGCAGTGCCCCCGGGCGACCGTGCCGGGCGCTTCATTTGTGAAAGCCCATTCTTTTCCAGATTCGGTTTTAGGAAATAGAGCTGTGACATGGAGAAGAGAGAGTGATTTTAAATGTTTTAACACCTATCTTAACTGAGACTCCGATGTGGGACTGATTGTAACGGGCTGTGGTCCGGGCCCAGGCTGCACTCGGGGAGGCGGGCTGCTTGTCCCCGTGCTGTGGCTGAGGTTCCAGGCAGCGGCATCAGCATCTGCTCCTGAGGTTTGCTGAGGTGACAGCTGAACGGAGCTGTCATTTCTCTGCATTCACACTGCGCAGTGGTGATTATCATGTACAAAAGAACATCTAATTACAGGGGGCATTTAAGTTTAAGATCTCAGGAGTTATCCCACCTGTTAGAAGTTTGCTCCTTAAAAAAAGAAAAAGGAGTTGGGTCTTGCCGGGCTGGGGTGACTCAGGAGGTCATGGTTTGATTCCCTGCAGCTGCCCAGGTTGCAGGCTTGGTCCCCAGTGTGGGGCGTGCAGGAGGCAGCTGGTCCATGATGCTCTTTCATCATTGATGTTTCTATTGCTCTCTCCCTCTCCCTTCCTCTCTGAAATCAGTAAAAACTTTTTTTTAACAAGTTGGGTCTTTACTTGAAGACCTCAGCATCTACGAAGGTACTTCCTTCTACCTAGAACCTAAGGAGCTTGTTGTGTTTAGTCCTCAGTTTATTTATTTTATTATTATTTTTTTAATATATTTTATTGATTTTGTACAGAGAGGAAGGGAGAGAGATAGAGAGTTAGAATCATCGATGAGAGAGAGTCATCGATCAGCTGCCTCTTGCACACCCCCCACCGGGGATATGCCCGCAACCAAGGTACATGCCCTTGACCGGAATCGAACCTGGGACCTTCCAGTCCCCAAGCCGACGCTCTATCCATTGAGCCAAACCAGTTTCGGCTAGTCCTCAGTTTAAAAATTACCTCCTGTTTCAGTGTTTGATTAGGGTCAGAGGTGGTTTGTTGACTGAAGCTGACCATTCGGCCGTGGGCCTCCGGCGCCAATGGCAGTGACCCGCCAGGTGGACCTCGGAGGGCTGAGGAGCATGGCTGTCGATGGGAGGGAGGTCGGGTGAGGGGCGGTTGGATTGAAAGCCCGCTCTGCAGACCTCTCTGCATGGCCGTGGCCCGTCCGCAGGGGAGGGCTGGGCGGTGCCCGGGCTGGCGGGGAGCACAGGTGTCCTGCGAGGACATCACGGCCTTTCGTTGTAAAACTGTGTCCTATTCTCTGGCACTGTCACTGCTTCATACGTCAGCGTTCACAAATGGCCGTCTTTAGAGTGCAGCCGTGCAAGGCGAGGGGGAGCCCCCGTGTCGGTGGACACGTGTCTGCAGCGTGCCCGCGGGGCCAGGGGTGCTCTGCGCTGGCCAGGCTCCTGCGACACTCTTCCTGTCGCCTTTGAAGCGGCCGTTTGATCAGAAATATTCCTAAGACCCCGTTGGCATGTGTTGCCTTCCCGGAGAGCTGCCATGGGCCCTGCCCTCTGCTGGGCCTGCTCTCGACCCGCCTGTGGGCACCGTGCCTGGTTGGCCTGAGCTGCAGGGCTGGGGTTGGTCCTTGGCCTGCTGGGATCCAGGGCCCGTTGGGAGAGCATGTTCCCGAACCAGAGGCCTGCTGGGCCCCACCCCCACACAGGTCCTTCAGAATGGCCATGTGGGCAGTCATGGGGTCGAGATCACTGATGTGGCTCCCTGCCTGGTTTCATGGGAGAGCCGTCCTGATCTCATGCCTGTTTCAGCTTCTTGTCTCTACCGAGACCCGGGCCTCTGGGAGAGGCTGCACGGGGACAGGTTTTCCTTAGCTCGCCGCCACCATCTGTTGAGTAGTGATTTGTTAGACATCATCATTGTGCAGAGCCAGTGAGTGAAAGAGACTGTACTTTACTAACCCAGCCCTTGGGGGCATTTTATAAGTTCTGATGAATGTTAGTCTCTGATTAATAATTGCTCTCAAAATTTCAATTTCCTTTTCTTGTCTGCTTCATTACTTAGTCATTTTTTTAATTTTATATTTTATTGATATTTTACAGAGAGGAAGGAAGAGAGATAGAGAGCTAGAAATGTCGATGAGAGAGAAACATCGACCAGCTGCCTCCTGCACACCCCCTACCGGGGATGTGCCCACAACCAACGTACATGGCCCTGACCGGAATCGAACCTGGGACCTTTCAGTCCGCAGACCGACGCTCTACCACTGAGCCAAACCGGCTTCGCCTACTTAGTCATTTTTTAAAAGTATATATTTTATTGATTTTTTTTTTTTTTACAGAGAGTAAGGGAGAGGGATAGAGAGTTAGAAACATCTATGAGAGAGAAACATCAATCAGCTTCCTCCTGCACACCCCCTACTGATGATGTGCCCACAACCAAGGTACATGCCCTTGACCAGAATTGAACCTGGGACCCTTGAGTCCACAGGCCAATGCTCTATCCACTGAGCCACACAGGTTAGAACTACTTAGTTATTGTTTATTAACTTTAAATCAATTTTTTAAAATCCTCACCTAAAGATAATGTTTTCATTGATTTTGAGAGAGAGAGAAACATCAGTGTGAGAGAGACACAAAGATCCGCTGCCTCACGCATGCACCCTGCCCGGGGATGGATCCGAAACCGTCGGGGGTCCAGGTGAGCTCCAGCCACCGGCCCGGCTGTGGGTGAACGTCCTGTGCTTTCTCCGTTTCAGATCGGACCCCTGAGGCGGCGCCGCAGAGCACTCCGGCCCGAAGATGAGCGAGCTCGACCAGCTGCGGCAGGAGGCCGAGCAGCTGAAAAACCAGATCCGGGTACGTGGCCGCACACATGTCCGCTCACTCACCACCAGCCCGGGCGGGTCTGGCCCGATGGTACCTGTGTCGGAGGGATGAGTTACAGGTGACCCCAGGGGTCAGGACTGAGGTTGAGTCTTAGTTAGCGCTAATGACACCCATTATTTGGCCTCGTCCGTTATTTGGGGGTTTTGTTTCCTAGTGCATCATTATTTCGTATGTAAAAATGTCTCCACAGCATTTATAAACATCTCTCTGCACATTGGTTTTTAACCTTGGAATTAGCTTTGTGCCATTCTTCCCCCCCCCCAAAAAAAAATATTCTTTTGGTCACTGTAGAGTGTGATGTTGGCCTCTCTCCCTTGTGACTGTTGAGGGTGGGAAACTTCTTTAAAAATAAGGGTATTAACAACAATACGAGGTATTTCAGGTGTGCCTGGCTTGTTTTTAGTTTTGAAAAGAGATGTTCCCTCGGGAAGGTCATTGCCCTGGAGGCAGAGCAGCGTGTGCAGCCTGGCTTCTGAGCACACGGGTCGCCCTGTGTGCAGGCCGCACGGCAGCCCTGGCGAGGGAACAGGGCGAGGCTCGGGTTTGGCTGCTCCCCTCCCGGTCGAAGGCAGTGCTTCTGAAGAATGCTTTCTAGAGAAGCATTGACGGCAATTCAGCGTTCCTGTTCTCAGACGGGTGATCGGAAGAGAGAGAGAAAGGACGTGGACTTAACAGAAAAGATTTGTCCTCAGTGTCTGCAGCGAGATGCTTGTCCACTGACGAAGGGGCATCTTGGGCGTTCCGGGGTCACCTGTAGACTCTAGCCACCGCCAGAGCGTCACTTCTCAACAGGTGTCTGAGCAGCTTCCTGAGGCCCTGGAGCGGGGGCGCCTCACCATGTCCTTCCAAATGGCCATCCTGCCCGGAAAACCCAGTGGTGACGGTTACTTAGCCGTCTCCTCATGACCTTTCGAGCAGGCAGTGGGTTCCCTGAGATCTGCAGCCGCAGGGAAACAGGCGTCCTGTGCCGGCCAGGCCTCCGCCCAGAGCCCTGCTGAGCTCCGGGAGCCGGACGCGGCTCTGCTCCCGTGACTCGTGGGATGTCTGTCCGCTCCGGGAGGAACAGCCGTTTCCCCGGCCCCTGGGAATGGCTCACCCCTGGTGGGCGCACACCGGTTCAGATGCAGCGCGTTGGTGCTGCGTGAGGACAGACATCGTCTTTGAAGAACAAAGGCTGGAAGTCAGCACTCATCTTTTCCCGTGGGTCAGGCCCCGTGGCACTGTGGGCGCAGGCGGCGGCCTCAGGGCAGGGCTGTCGTGCTGGCCGCACCCGGAATTTACACACGTAAAAAGGAACAGGTGGCATTCATGTGTAAGAAACTGAATGACCAACATACCTAATTACCACTTCCACATGCACTTCGTATTCCAGTCCTCTACACCCTCTTTCCACCACGTCTCCACTCAGTGTGCCGCCCACAAATGGGCACCACCGTGTGCACGTGCCCCGGCTCCTGAGGCTCCCGAGCTGGTGCTGTGCCCGTTTCTGGGCTCAGCACGGGGACGACAGAGGCGGGGCACCTCTTCCCCCTCGGGTGGGAGGGAAGGCTTCCTTTTAAAATGGAAAGGCACACTTTCCCCCGTTGCCCAAGAAATACAGGTTTTCAAAGGACGCGGGGCAGAGGGAGCAGGAGATGGCAGCGGGGGAGGGCTGGTGCTTTCTCAGGCTGGTCTGTAGGTGAGAGGCCCCAGGGGACCACTCGTGCTTTCTGACGGGGCTTGGGAGGGAGGATGTGCAGCCTCAGAGGGCTGCGGCCCTGCCACACTGCCCGCGTGGTGCTGTGTGGGGGGCAGACTTGGGAGCGGCCCTGCCCCTGCAGGTGCCAGCCCTCACGGTGGGACAGGCCCGTGGTGCTGGGCAGAGGCCAAGAAGAGGAGGACTGACCGGTCAGCAGCTTGGACGACTCCTCTGACTTAAGGGCCAAGAAAGGTGGATGCCGTCTCAGTGACGTCTCATCCCAAACAGACGAGGCCTTTGCACCAGGAGCACCTCCCCCCACCCCTCCCCGTGCACGTCTCCACCAGACCAGACCGTCGGGCGTGACTCCAAAGACGCCAGGGCCTCTGACTACCAGCAGCTGCAGAGACCGCCCCTGACGTGCTGTCATAATTTTCTTGGAAATTATTCCTACATTCAAGTTTTGATCCTTTTAAAGCTATCGTCTTGTTTTTCTTCTTAATGTATGATTTTTTTGTAAAATTTATACACTAATTAGAGATTTCAAGATTTTATCTTCTAGTAACTTTGACCACTCAGGGACAATGACGCATTTTTATGAGCTTCAGTGTGTCCCTGTATAGTGCTTCCGTGCTTCACGGGTCATTTCCTAGGCAGGAGCACAGCCAGAAGCTGCGCCAGGCCCTCAGCGCGTCCCATAGCCTCAGTCTCGCGACAGTTCCCGTTAGCACAGCTTGGAAGAGAGGGCTCAGGCTGGGCATACGGTGCTTCCCACAGTCCTCGGGCCCCACAGCTCCGGGCGGTTTTTAAAAGGCCGAGGTAGGAGTGTGTGGGGCTGGGAGGTGCGGGGCCGTGGAGGTGCAGGGTCGTGGAGGTGCACGCCTTCAGCAGGAGGACGGGTGGCCCCGGTTCTGGGGTTCTGAGTGCCACCAGCCTCCCCTTGGTCCTCCCAGGGTGGCCTGCATCACTAGGGTCACAGGTGTACGATGATCTGGGGCCTGGAAGGCGCTGTGTTCTCTTACCCCTTATGGAGTGTGGTCTGGGCACAGGCTGCTCTGCCTGACAGTCCACTTGCCCTGCACGTGGGGCTGCAGCACAGGCAGGTGGAGGCGCCTCCATCCGTCACATTCCGCTCCTCCCGGCCCTGCACGAGGCTCTGAACTGCGGCGGAGGGCCTGGGAGGGAACGAGTCTGGGCCTTGACTGACCCCCTCCTCTCTGTTCTCTCTAGGATGCCAGGAAAGCTTGTGCAGACGCAACTCTCTCTCAGGTGAGAACCTCGGGCCGAGCTCTGCTCTGAGTCGGGTGCGGTGAGGGTGGGACCCAGTGCTGGGAGCGTTCACTCACAGTGTTTGTGCGGTGTAGGACGTGGTGTTTTTAGGATGGAAAATAAACCCCTCTTAAGCCTTAGATAGGTCCTCACGGTGGTAGAGGCCAGGTTGTGAAATAGTCATCGTCCAGTTCAGTTTGGCCGGTTCTCAAGTTTAACTTCATCCGTCCTCTCCAGACACCGGCACTGAACGCTGGTGCGAAGACAGCGCCCGCCCAGCTCCCCAGCACTTCCCCCGGCGCGGGAGGGGGAAGCACCCTGTCCGAGCCCGAGGGTGGGCACACAGCGGGACGGGACCCAGCGCAGGGAGGGGCGGAGTGCGGACGCTTGCGCAGCTGGAGGAGCCCGGGACCGGGGCGGGGCTGCCAGGCCAGGCCGCTGCCAGGCTCCACCGACAGGGACATTCCGGATAGGCAGTCCATGGCCTGGAGGAGATCAGGGCCGCCAGGGGCTGGAGGGGCCCACGAGTGAGTGCTTACTGGACGTGGGCGGTGGGAATGTTCTGGAACTAGGGAGAGGGGTCACACAGCATTGCCAGCATGCTAAGGACCGCTGGGTGAAATTCTTAAAGTGGTGAATTTCACCTCATTAGAAAAATTAATATCTTTGCCCAAAGAATAAAATGTGAAAGAAAAATCCTATATTTCCTGAGAACGATTAATATTTTACAGTGTTTTAATGGTTTAGGCAGTGTTTTCCAAACTTTTGACATATGTGTACCCCTTCTATAATTTTCGTAACGCTGAGTACCCCTCGTACTCATGAGAACGTAGAATTAGGCGCAGCTAAGCACGGTGCAGTGCATATCCCCACCAAACTCCGGTGCAATGCGTACCCCCACCAAACCCTTCCCGTGCCCCTGGGGGCACGCGTACCACACTTTAGAAAACTCTGCTTTAGGGGTTGCACTTTAATTGGGGTCAAACAATAAGTTAAGGAAAAATTGTACTACATTGAATTACCTGCTTCTGAATTCTGAGATGCACAGTTTTAGACCCATTAATGTGACTCACTCACTCCATTTGTCCACCCAAATGGTGAACGCCAGGCTCTCCTGCCGGAGGGTGTACAGTTCTGGGCCCCAGCAGCAGTAATCCCGAGTGGGTGCTAGCTCTGGCCTGGGTCAGTGCCCAGCCTGAGCGCTGGGCGGTGGGGTTGGGAGGGGGCCCATCAGGCTGTGGGAGGCAGAAGGCCCTGGCCTCGGTGCACAGTTGGTGAGACGAGGAGAGAAGAGGGAGGCGTTCGTGTGCCCAGCCCCGAGCATGGTGCCCGCTGTGGGTTTGAAGTGCAGAAACGTGTTCTCCATCTCAGGTGGAGCCTGGGCCTCAGCCTCGTGAAAGGGAACTCGGCACCTGCACACAGGAGAAATCCCAGCAGGAGGGGCTGGGCCTGGCGGTGGGTGGCGGAGAGGGACCTCACAGGACATTTGCTTTCAGATCACAAACAACATTGACCCCGTGGGAAGGATCCAGATGCGCACCAGGAGGACACTGCGGGGGCACCTGGCCAAAATCTACGCCATGCACTGGGGCACCGACTCCAGGTGAGTGGCCTGAGCGGGTCGGCCTGAGGCACAGGGACGTTCCGGGTTGATTGGTCCTGGTTTGTAAAGAAAAGCCAGGAAGTGTCATCAGAGGTCGGGGCAGGCATCCGCCCAGGCCACACTTCCTCCTACCCAGGCCCGTTTCTGCCCGCCCTCGTCCATTCCTGTCAGCTGGGTCTTCCTCTCCCTCATTGTGATTCTGCTGGATCCAGGCCCAGTGTGTGTGTGACCGTGGCTCATCTTTCCAGCCTGTTCCTCATGGTTTCTCCGCTGGCACCTGGGGTATCAGTGCCCTGGCACCCTGGGTTTCAGTGCCCTGGCACAGGGGTAAAGTGTGTGGAGCCTTAGGACAGTGGGTCCCAAGTGCTATGTCCGCGTTTGCTGCTGGTTTCTCCCTGAGCCACATCCCACAGCAAGAATGCAGTCTCAGCTGCTGCCCATCTCTCCCCTGGCCCTTCTGCCCCTCCAGCAGGGAACTCCCACCGTCACTCATTGTTCCTCCTGTAAACCCTGCCCTGAATTCAGACCCCTCGTCCTCTGGCGGCTGCTCTCCTCCCTCGCCCGGGTCCCTGCAGCATCGTGACGCCGTGTGCTCAGCCTCCGATAGAGGCTGCCTTTCTCCCCGAGCAGCGGGGTGACCTGCCAGGGGCTCTGACTGACGCGCTCAGACACCAACGTGGACCTCAGTGCCTGTCTTTGAGTAGTTTTTGTCTTTTAAAGTTTATTAGAAACTTTCAGCTTGGTTTTCTCTTTGTGAAATTGTCTGCTTTAGAGTGTAAACAGCTTCAAAACAACCTATTCTATCTTTACTTTGTGCAGTGTCCCACGCAATTTCAAATGCAAATGAATGATAATTTAGGCCATTTCAGTGATACTGCTAATCAGAAAGAATGAAAAAGGAAGAAGAGCCGAGACAGGTGTGGCTCAGTAGATAGAGCATTGGCCTGCGGACTGAAAGGTCCCAGGTTCGATTCCGGTCAAGGGCATGTACCTCGGTTGCGGGCACATCCCTGGTGGGGGGTGTGCAAGAGGCAGCTGATTGATGATTCTCTCTCATCGATGTTTCTGCTCTCTGTCCTCTCTCTTCCTCTCTGTGAAAAATCAATAAAATATTAAAAAAAAAAAAAAAAAAAAAAAAAAAGGAAGAAGAAAGGAAAATGCCCTCACTCGTCAACCCACCTTAGACTTGTACGAAAAGTAGCCGTTGACCAAATAGAGCGTGGTCTCTGGGCTCTTCTCATCCATGGGAGCCTCTGTCCTGTCCTGCTCAGACGGGGCGTTGGTAGCCAGGCCACACACACACACACACACACACACACACCCCGCGCACCAGCCTCACACCCTCCACGGTGTGCCCCTGCAGCCGCCCCCTGGGCCGTCCAGGATGCTCCCAGGTGGCACACCCTGTGCCTGAGGGGGCGGGAGCTGCACCAGGCTGCAGGCAGCTGTTCCTTCCTGTGTGGCCGGAGCAGGGGGCAGGAGCAGGGGCTCAGGTGCAGCAGGAAGGCAGTAGGGCCAGATCATCGAGGCTCTGATCACCACGTGTGAGGCCTTACGCTCGGCCTGGGGTTCCAACTGGGATTGTGCTGTGAAAGCTGGGGGTCGGGGTCGGGTCTGAGGAAGAGCAGCAGGGCTGGGACAGCGCACATGGAGTTCAGGGTGTGGTCACCCCTAAAGAGCGGGGATCCAAGGGGGTAGGGGTGTTGAGTTACTCTGGTTCTCTTTCTTGGCAGGGCCTGGCTGCTCTTTATTATATATATTGATTTCAGTAAAAGAAGAAGAGAGAGAAACATCAATAATGAGAGAGAATCATTGGCCGGCTGCCTCCTGCATGCCCCTCACTGGGGATGGAGCTCACAACTCAGGCATGTGCCCTGACCGGGAATCGAACTCTGACCTCCTGGTTCATAGGTTGATACTCTGAGCCACGCCAGCTTGGCTGTAGCTGCTTTTTAAACTGGACAGTTACAGCTCTTAACACCTTAAGTATGTGGGGCCCTAGTTTACAGTGATAAACCAAGGAACAGAGGTGACGCTTGGAGCTGTGCTGTGCAGCGCGTCTCAGAGAAAACCCAGCCTGTTCTCAGAGTGGACGTGCATTGGCTCACGTCTCCTTCGCACCTTCTGCCTTTGTAAGCGGTCATCGCGCAGGGTGTTCTGGCTCGGCTGCAGGCTGTGAACACGCGTTAGTCCGTGTGATGCTCAGACTCTCGCTGCTGGGAGACACAGCGAGGGCTGTGCGGGCATGTGTGCATCAGTGGGTGTCACATCTTCATTAGTACCGTGCTTGTCAGCATCATCAGTAAAATACGTTTTTGCTTAAGTTCTATTTTTTATAACATTTCAGAGTCTCTCAGTCACCTGAAGTCTTGTTAGAATTGAAGGGCCTGAGGCCTGGGCTGGGAGGCGGGGCCTTCTTCCCGCTCCTCCTTCCTCTGCTTTGGCGTGGCTGGTGCCTCCCGGTGACTGGCCGCTGCTGGGCGCCAGGCTGCACCGGGAGGCGAGTGACCACCCCGGTCTGCAGCGGTTCCCCCATTGGGATTACGGGGTGTCTCCTCTCACCTTCTGGAGGATCAGTGGGCATTAGCTCATGTGCCTCTAATTGGGCGAGTCAGCAGATGCTAAGCTCTGAGCGGAGACCTTCCTGAAGGTGACCCTCTGGAGGGGAGGCGCACTGCCGGCCCCTCGGGGCTCATCCACGGCTGAGCCTGCAGGGCTGGCACTGGGCGCGGAGCAGCCGCTGTTAACCCACAAGTCTCCGTGCCCGAGGTGTGTGTGGCCACCGAGATGCAAGGACTTGATTGAAGAAAGTGCTTTTGGGAGAGGAGGGCACGTGGTTCCGCCCTGCGAGGAGTTGGCAGCACGGAGCCGAGGCCGGCGTTGTCCCTTGGGACTCCTTGGTGACCTCTTGTACCTGTCGCCTCAGATCGTGTGTTTTGGTGAACAGTGTCCAGATTTCCAGAGAGACCGGAGTTTTACCTCCAGGTTATGATCGGTTCAGGAAGTGTAACTCCATCGATTAAAAAAAATCCACATCATTAACCGGAGCACCTGGTAGAACTCTTTCTGTCATGACTTGTCGCACTGACCCGTCCGTGCAGGGCTGTGGGTGGAGCCGTGGCCACCCCTGGACGGGCAGTTCCTGAGCTGTCTGCTGAATAGCCGTGGGCCCTGCTTCCTCTCCGCTGACCCTCGCCCCTTGGTCACGCTGCCCTGCGCTGTCCTGTCCTCGTTCTGTAGAAACAGGTATGGCTCCTTGCAGCCACAGACCCCAGCTGATCACACTTGCCCAGAGCGAGACAAAAGGAAAAGGTGCGTGACGGTTGGGAGTTTCTGCTCAGGGCCCCGGGGGCCTGCCTTCACTTTGTACAGCGGGTGAGATGTGAGCGAGCCTCAGGACCGCCCAGGGCCTGGACCCAGTGTCGCTCCGTCTGGGAAATGCCTCAGAAATTGGGAGTCTTCGAAAGCTTGTTTCCTGTGTCTCGGCTTCCCGTGCACTAGAATAGAACAGAAAGTTGCACAGTACATGTTTCCTACCACCTTGGTTCTTGAAAGACTGTATGTCTCACATTGGACTTGTCATGAACAGAAACCAGACGGAAGCAGTGCTAAGTGGCCACGGTCTCAGTTGAGCCAGCACGTGGCTGGGGTCCAGTCCCCCGAGAAGCCAGGCGCTTGTCCCGGCTGCTGTCGTGGGACATTCTCGTCACGCTCTCATGTTGGTCTGATGATGGGACTTTTCCTTTGGGCTCATCTCCAGCACAGCCGCTTTGATGCACACGAGAGGTGACACCACAGCCGTGTGTGGCGGTGGCTGTGGCTGACGTGCTTGCGTTTGTCTTCCCTGCAGGCTTCTCGTCAGTGCCTCCCAGGACGGCAAGCTCATCATCTGGGACAGCTACACCACCAACAAGGTAGGAATGCACGCCCTCCCCAGGGGCGAGGCTGGGAGGGGGGAGGCGGGCAGGTGGGGGCACGGGATTGGGGTTGGTGTGGAGTTCCCGGGCCGCTAGGAGCCGAGGCCGTGGCTGCCACGTGTGGCTAGTCCCCTTCGCCCAGCGCAGCTCTGCTGGGGTTGTCCTTGTCTCACAGCAGGTGGGAGTCGGAATTCCGGTTTTAGCTCAGTCTGGGAGATTTCATTTCTTACTTAGAAATGCATAAATCTAGCTTTTCATTTAGTTATTACTTTTTATAAGAGATCATCTGAGTGGCTTTATATCTTGAAGTGTAAATTAAGCTCTTTTTTTTTTTTTAAAATATATTTTATTGATTTTGTACAGAGAGGAAGGGAGAGAGATAGTTAGAAACATCGACGAGAGTCATCGATCAGCTGCCTCTTGCACACCCCCCACCGGGGATATGCCCGCAACCAAGGTACATGCCCTTGACCGGAATCGAACCCGTACCTTTCAGTTCCCAAGCCGACGCTCTATCCATTGAGCCAAACCGGTTTTGGCTAAATTAAGCTCTTTTAAGAGTATCCCCGGGGATGTCACATGGAATGACGCAGTGCTGCACTGTCCCGCGTGCTGAGCTTCGGGGGCGCTGTCTGCACGTGAGCACAGCCTGGCGCAGCTGCCCACAGGGCTGGCGCAGCCACAATGGGCCAGTCCCGGACTTCAGGAGAAAGCTTTGCTTATTCACGAATTGAGAGCCATTTTGACCAGCCAATGGCTTTTTTTTTTTTTTTCTTTTTTTTTCTTTTTTAAGACTTAAGTGAATTATTGCTAGCCAGTAAGCCTTAAAATACAACAGTAAAGGAACAGTCTCTGCTTTCGATACCTAATTTCAATTAGGAGGCTGTATTGTTACTGAGTGCCTATCTAGTCATCCCTTGCAACTTTAATAAAATGATAGATTGAGTTGTTACATAATACAGGGTTTCTAATTAAGTTACTGCTTTATCTGTCTGGTCATACCTGCAAATTATTTTCATAGTAATTTCAGTAGCTAGATTTTGAACATGAGCATGTTTGCGTCTCTGTTCTGTCGTCCAGGTCCACGCCATCCCTCTGCGTTCCTCGTGGGTCATGACCTGTGCGTACGCCCCTTCTGGCAACTACGTGGCCTGCGGAGGCCTGGATAACATCTGCTCCATTTACAACCTGAAAACTCGCGAGGGGAATGTCCGTGTGAGCCGTGAGCTGGCCGGACACACAGGTACGCGTTCTCTCCCGTGACCTCACAGCTGGCCAGTGTTCTCGCCCTGCTCAGGAATGATCTCAGGGACTGCATGAATGGTAGAATACTCTGGAAATAAAAGTAAAGCAGGCCTTGTATGCCTTTACCAGGAAGAAAACGTGGGTCTCAGTCCTGTGGCCTCTGCTTTTCAGGGTCACTTAGGCCACTGTCTTCCATCCTGAGCACCTTCCACCAGGGTTTGCAATCTGAACGTGCCTGTGTGTGTGTGCACACGTGTGTGCACTGACCCTGGCATCAGTGGGCTGGAGTGCGGAGCCGCAGTCTGGGAGGTGTTGGAGCCGAGCAGCTCTCCGTGTTTGTTTACTGGTGACAGTGGCTGCGACAGGGGAGTGGTTTTGGAGGGGCCCCGTCCTAGGGTTTTACTTTGGTGGCTGCTTCTCAATCCTGAAAACGACTTCCCACGAGGCTCACCTGCCTCAGGCGCAACCCAGGAGAGGGTGGTAACTAGTCCTGCTCTGACGCCAGCCAGGTGGCCCGTTGCTTCCTTCCAGCCGTAGAGAGCCTGTCCTGCATCCTTCCAATGCCCGATGTTCGGAGAACAGCTGTCCTCTCGGGGTAAAGTGCTCACTACCGGCTGGAAGGAGACTCACTGCGAGGCCACATGCCCGCTGCAGAGTCGGCTGCTTCGTGTGTGAGAGCAGACGCACTGCCCAGTCCGAGAGGGCGGGAGAACCTGACGAGCGATGTGCTGTGTCTCCCTCCAGTTCGGGCACTTGTTGCCTCACCCGTTTTGAGCCATTAGCAGAGCGCCCGGGTCTCGTCTCTTCCTGCTGAACGGACCCTCTTGTCCGGATGCGGCGCTCTGCCTGGTCCTGGCGTCTGCTTCCCCGTGGCAGCCCAGCCTTCCTGCTCCTGCGCTGACATCTGCAGGAGGCTCCCCACCCATCTCCTTCCCACTCGACTGTGCCGTTGTTGATAGCGCCTTCTGAAGGCAGTGTGTCCCGTCGTTCTCAAGGTCTCGGCCGTTTCCAAGCTGTTGAGTCCTGTTTCTCGTGACATTAGTGGAGGGGATGCGGCTCCATCACTTACCTGCCCCCTGGCTGCCCTGCTCTGTGGGCGGTTTGGTTACCTCTCCATGACTCTGAGTGGCTCGTCCAGGGGTTACAAAGTATGTCTGATTTCTGCTGGTCTGCCGGGGGTGACTTGTGTCAGCTCACGGGACATGCATGCCCCTGGCAGCCGCACAGGCCGTTTCCTGCTCGGTGACGTTCCTGTCGGCGTTGCACCTGCATGTGTAACAGCCCAGGACACACGGCACATTGCTCACCGGGCCAAGAGCACCTGCTCTTCCATGTTCTCCGACGCTGCCCCTCGGTGCTCGCTGCCCCTCCCTAAGGGTGGGGTGCTCTCCGCCCCTCAGCGAGGAGCAGGTCTGCCGAGTGAGCCCTCCGGGCCGGGCTCTGTCCTCGTCTCCCGCGTCCTGCTTCTTCAGTGATGTTTCTCTCTTCCTTCCTCTTTGAAGTCAATAAAAATGTGTTTTCAAAAAAAATGTATACACACACACACACACACACACACACACGTGTGTGTGTGTGTGTGTGTGTGTGTATATATATATATATAAGTTTTAATTGATTTCGGAAAGGGAGAGAGATGGAAACATCAATGATGGGAGAGAAATATCATCGATCAGCTGCCTCCTGCACGTCTCCTACCAGGGATTGAGTCCGTACCCCAGGCCTGTGCTCTGACTGGGAATCAGACTGTGACCTCCTGGTTCATAAGTCAACATTCAACCACTGAGCCATGCCGGCCAGGCTAAAACCTATTTTTAAAAATGTGGGGTGTCTCGACAGGTATGTGTTCCAACCTCTGTGCTGAGGGCCAGCTTGCACCTCAGGCCACACAACCATTTCTACTCCGACTTGTCTGCTACAGCTGCATCCGTAGCAAACGGACCTGCTCCCTGCTCTGCCCTGACACCTGTCCATCCTCTCTCCCCACGATGGAAGGGCTCCAGGGGGCAAGAAGTGACCTTCTGTTCATGGATGTGTCCCGGGCAGGGAGCACACTCCAGGCACCAGGTCTGCTGTGCATTGAGTGGTTGAGTGAGTCAGTGAGGAGCAGGCAGGGATCCGTCCTCACTCCTGTCATGACAAGAGGGGAAGGAGGCATGGGCACCAGAGGAGAGCATGTGCCCATGTGTGGTAGCTCCAGTGCCCTGTGGGCACAGTGTCTCGGCCTCCTTCGTCCGAGGGTCCTGACCACCCTAGGCCTGCCCGGGCCCGCCCAGCAGTGTGCACACGGGCAATGGGGCCGTAGGCAGGGTCTTCCCCATCCTGCCCACGGGTTTCTGTTAACACGATCATAGAGAGCGGCTCTTGCAGATTTGGGTCATTGTCTGGATCTGTTTTCCAGGTTACCTGTCCTGCTGCCGCTTCCTGGATGACAATCAGATCGTGACCAGCTCTGGAGACACCACCTGGTGAGTGCCTGAGCCCCGCCTGCCCTTCTCACAGGGCTCGGCCACCCCAGCTCTGGGTAGGAGGACAGAAGGTCCTTTTTTGTTTTGTTTTATACTCACTTGATATTTTTTTCATTGATTTCTAGAGGGAGTGGAATAGAGGGAGGGAGGGAGGGGCTGAGAGAGAGAGAGAGAGAGAGAGAGAGAGAGAGAGATATAGGGGGCTGAGAGAGAGAGAGAGACATCAATGTGTCTCACATTAATTGGTTGCCTCTGCAAGTGCCTGATGGGGGCTGGGGATTGAACCTCCAACTTAGATATGTGCTCTTGGCTGGGAATGGAACCCATGACCCTTCTGTGTGCGGGCCAATGCTCTTAACTGCTGATCCACACTGACCAGCGCGAAAATAGGTTCTTGCCATGAGTGAGGGTGTCTGTCATGTGAAACGGCCATGAGGCTTCAGCCCCAGAGGCAGTGACAGAGGACCGCTTTCAGTGTGCTTTGCCGATTTGCAGCCTCTCCATAGACACGGCACCTCTGGGATGAGGGAAGTGCCTGTTCCTTTCCCCGCGGCCAGGCTGGGAGCCGCGGGTGCATTGTCCCTCCCCAAACGGCAGGGTCATAGCTTCCGCGGGGCACACCGTGTTTCTGAATGTTCCGAGTTCTCATCCTCCTTACAGACAGGAGCCCCTAAATAAGCCGTGGAGTATGTTCACCCGTGGCTCCCAGCCATGTCATGTACATTTGACCAGAGGCATGTGAGAGAGACCCCATCTGATCTGTCTTAATCAAAGCGCACAGGTGTGCTTGGTCCGGGGTGGGAAGGACACTGGTCATTGGCCGTCTGAGAACGGGTGCTCTGTGGGTGTCTCCTGCTGCAGTGCTCTGTGGGACATCGAGACGGGCCAGCAGACAACCACCTTCACCGGACACACCGGGGACGTCATGAGCCTTTCTCTCGCTCCCGACACCAGACTGTTTGTGTCTGGGGCGTGTGACGCTTCAGCCAAACTGTGGGACGTGCGAGAAGGGATGTGCCGGCAAACGTTCACCGGCCACGAGTCCGACATCAACGCCATCTGTGTGAGTGGCGGCGCGGCAGGCTTCTTTGCTGCGTCTCGGTTGGATTAGTTCTGTGCACGTAGCATTCTCGTTCCATTGTGAATGTTTCTAGGACTAGACATCCTGTTTTTTCTGCAAATACAACCCAATTTACCAGAAACTCCTGTGGAAAACCTAGAAGTGATGTGCTCTGTCCTTGGGGCCAGCTAATTCTGTGCTTGGCTGGCCCCAGCCCTGGGCTTCCTGGGGGAAAGGGGAGCACAGGGTGCAGTAACTCACCCAGCCTGCAGCCTCTGGGGGGCGGGGTTTCCCTTTTCCACATCCCAACCTGAGGGCCTGGCCTTGAGGGGAGCTGTGCGGGCGTGTAGTGGTTGTGGATCCTTTCCCTGCCTTCTGCCTGGAGCTCCTGACTGCCGGTGACTGAGAGAAACACGGCCTCGGTGATGCCCACCCTGCAGCTTCCTGGACACTCCTGTGGCTCAGGCGGGCACAGCCCTCAGTCCCGGCCGTGTGCTCCCTGGACCCCTGTGCTGTGGCCCCGGCTGTCAGCACGCAGCCCTTGCTGACGTTGGCAGTGGCACTTCCAGTATTTATGATTTGTGCCTTTGCACACTCCTATTTGCTTTCTCTTTCCAGTTCTTTCCAAACGGCAATGCGTTTGCCACTGGCTCGGATGACGCCACCTGCAGGCTGTTCGACCTCCGTGCGGATCAGGAGCTCATGACTTACTCCCACGACAACATCATCTGCGGGATCACCTCCGTCTCCTTCTCCAAGAGCGGGCGCCTCCTCCTCGCCGGGTACGACGACTTCAACTGCAACGTCTGGGACGCGCTCAAAGCCGACCGGGCAGGTGGGTGACGGCGGGCCGGTCCGTAGGCGCGGGACACTCGGGCCGCCTTTCAGTATGGACATGGCTCCTCAGATAAGCCCCGGTGTGCGCACCTGCCAGGCTCATGGCGGGGCTGGCAGAGGGACAGGGACAGGCCACAGGCAGCCAGGAGCCGCTGGGCAGGCCTGGCGCCCCGCACACACCAGTTGCTTTCCCACCCACTTGTGCGGTGCCCGGCATCCCCAGTGGGCGGGAACGGGGTGCCCGAAGGCTGGTGTGTGGTCCAGGTGCATCCGCGCGCCCGACGGGTGATGAGAACGCCCAACTCCGTGTGGCCTCGTTGCCGGCTGTGTTCGTCCGGGCTTGGGAGGGTGGGAGAAGGGCTCATGTCCCCTGGTGGCTTGGGGTCTCGCCTCGGCTTCCTGCCCCAGGTGAACCCCTCAGCTCCCCTGCGCAGCGGCATTGCATGGCTGCCTGGGGGGCGCGGGCCTGGAGTGACTGTGCCCTGCTTGCTCTCAGGTGTCTTGGCCGGGCATGACAACCGCGTCAGCTGCCTGGGCGTGACTGACGACGGCATGGCCGTGGCCACGGGGTCCTGGGACAGCTTCCTCAAGATCTGGAACTAACACCGGCAGGTAACTCGGGGGAGGTGGTGGCTCGTGGTTTCTGGGCTCTGTGGGGGGGTGGACGGGTGTGGGGAGGTCAGCCTTGACCGCAAGCTGAGTGGCGACGGGTCTGAACTGAAAGGCCCTACTTCTCTTTACTTTTTTTTTTAGTGTCTTCTGTGTTGTTAATCCTCACTTTTCCATAATTTTTTTCTTTTTTTTTTTTTTTAATATATTTTATTGATTTTGTACAGAGAGGAAGGGAGAGAGATAGAGAGCTAGAAACATCGATGAGAGAGAGTCATCGGTCAGCTGCCTCTTGCACACCCCCCACTGGGGATATGCCCGCAACCAAGGTACATGCCCTTGACCGGAATCGAACCCGGGACCTTTCAGTCCCTAAGCCGACGCTCTATCCATTGAGCCAAACCGGTTTCGGCCTTTTTTTTTTTTTTTTAGAGTGGAAGGGTGGAGAGGTGGGGGGGCATCCATATGAGAGACACATCGATGGATTGCCTCCCCATATGGGGCCCCGACCAGGACTGGGGATTGAGCCTGCACCTGGGGTACATGCCCCTGACCAGAATTGAACCCGGGACTCTTCAGCCCGCGGGCTTTCCTATCTACTGAGCCAAACTGGCCAGGGCTCTGTTGATATTTTTTTTAATGTATTTATTATGGCGACAACAGCCATAATATGTATTTATTATGGTACTAACATTGTATAGGTTCCAGGTGCACAGCTCTAGGGTGCACCCATCTCCTGGGTACTGCACTGTGTGTTCACCACCCAAGGTCAAGTCCCCTACCATCACCACTCATCCCTCTCCCCCCCCCCCCCCCCGCCCCCTCCTTCTGATGGCCCCCACACTGCTGTCTGTGTCTCTGAGGTCATTTCCCTTTACTTTCCCTTTACCTTTTCACCAACCCCCCAGCCTTTCTCCCTGACAGCTGTCTGTTCTGTTCTGTCTCGGGGAGTTTCTTTCTTATATTCCTTTTTCCATTTTGTTAGTTTACTTTCCAATAAGTTTAAATCCTCGATGGGCACAGCATTGCCCAGGTTCTGTGTGCAGCAGCCTCAGCGGAAAGGCTGCTCGGACTCAGTGAGAACTGCCCCCTTCCATGGGCATGAGTCCCCGTTCCTCAGGCGGCTCTGGTTTGCTCTTTGCCCCCCAGGAGTCACTGTGTTGTTCCCTGCTTTGTACACATAAGCCAGAGAGAATTCCTCACCTTTAAGAAGAGCCTGGCCAGTGTTGCTCAGTGGTTGAGCATTGACCTACGAACCAAGAGGTCACAGTTCAATTCCCGATCAGGGCCCAGGTTGCGAGCTCAATCCCCAGTGTGGGGCATGGAAGAGGCAACCGATAGATGCTTCTCTCTCTCTCCCTCTCCCTTCCTCTCTGAAGTCAATAAAAATATATTTTTTAATAAAAAGGGGAGCTGTGTGCTCTCTGATTCCAGAGACCCCGCTGATAGCCGTCAAAAATGGCCTTGGACACAGCTTTGTGGACGTTCTTGTCTTTACAGAAGCCCTGCTCCCAGCAGCCTCCGCAGGGCCCACGACGGCAGGGAACGCTCTGTAGTTTGTCTGTCAGTTTGCCTTGTTCATGGGATCCACATACACTGGTGCCTGCCGTCCTCTGACTCACTCGCTCGGCAGCTTGCTCGGGCTCTCGCTCACGTCTCTAACCTCTGCTTCCAGCAGCCGGCGGCGCGGTGACTGGAAGACCATTCCACCCGAAGCGTTGCAGTGATAGCATTTCCAATCCTCCCTACTAACGTGGGCGCCCTCCCCTCCGAACTCCAAAGGGCAAGATCTTTTCCTTCACTTCCTGCTGAACCAAGAGCACAATCCACGAGAGAAGAACTGCTGTGAACTCGACGAGTCGTGCCCCTCCCGGGACCATTGTCTCTGTTTGCTTTTTGTCTGGAATGAAGTTAGAAGGAAGCTAGTCAGGATGTTCACACGCAGCAGCTCCGTGTCTCGTGAGGCAGACACGCCTGGCCACACGTGGCCAGACACACGTGGGTTTGGGCTCCGGCCCGTGACCCCGTCCGTCCGCCTGTGACGCTCGTGCAGAGCAGGTCGAGGACTGGATCTTGTCATCGGCTCCAAATTCCAGGTCGTGTTTGTAACAGGATTTGAAACCATTCATGTTTCCTTTTTAAAATACCTTTGTGTTTTGTAGTTAAACAGAGAGAGAGGCTCTAGCGCGTCTCTCTGAAGTTGTTAATGATGTAAATTTAGTCCCTGTTTAAAATTTCTTTTGTCCAGTGTCACATGGTTGTTGCGCAGACATGGCACAGAAAGAGAGCAGACCCGAGCGTGGTGACCAGCAGAGTCCAATCAGGCACCTTTCTCCCGCGTCCTCTGCCTCTCCCTCCAGTTCCTTCCTCACCCTGGGTTTCCTGTGAAGTTGGGGGGAGTTTATAATAATAGCCTAACACTACCCCGTGCCCGCCCCGCTGTCATAACCTCTGTGTTCAAGAGAGGTGCCCGTCCTGTGCTTGGATAGTCAGTCAATTCTTTGTGTATGAAACAATGTAAAAATCAATGTTTTGAAAATAATGATCTCAGACTTTCTAAGTTAAATGTTAAACAATTGGATCGTTTGCCGCATCGGGGATAACTCTTAGACGCGCATGCTGTAGGAATGCTCGGTGTGCGTTCCGCTCAGTCTGTAGGTGTTCTCTTTCTTCACGAAATAACCTCTTTCAAGTTGTAACCATTGACGGCTCTCGCCACGATCGTTGCTGCTCTGCACGCACCGGAAGCAGTACAGTAAGCAGCTCTAAGACACGCTTGAGTAGCAGGATAAGGCACTATTTTCTTTATTTCTTTAAAAACCACCAAGTCCTGTTCCAAATGATTGCTGTTGGATTGGGATGGGGTGGGGGCAGGGAACGGAGACCCTGGCCGTCTCTGTAAACTCACGGCCCGTTTCCCACGGAACCAGCCTCTGCACCGGAGGCAGGTCATTTTCTAACACAGACTTTCCCGGTGTCCCCCAGCCGGTCCTGGCAGGCGTCCCCGAGCCCAGTGCCCGCAGCAGCAGCGCCGGCAGGTGCGGGGGCGGTGTGCTGGGCCCGCCCCGCTCTCCGGAGCAGCGGCAGAGCTTCCCGGCTGGCTGGCTGCGGCTCCTGCACAGGTGGCCGCGTGGACGCTTGGGCTGGGTCTGGGGGAGCGGGGAGCGGAGCCCTCCTAGCGACACCTCTGTACACCGCCTGCACCTGCCCTCCCTTTTGTATTTAATTTCAGTCCGTGTACTGCAAGGAAGCTGGACGCGAGGTAGGCCCTGTATTCAACTGTACTGTTATTTAAGCTGTAATAAAGCAGTTTGGCGTGAGGGACCTCCGTGTGGCTGCTGCTTCTCCCTGCGGGCGGTCTATGCTGGCCTCTGCCGTGCTTTCCCATCGCAGAGAATCCAGGAAAGCAGTGGGTCCCCACGTGCCCCCCCCCCTCCGGCCCTCCAACCACACCCTGGCCACTCCGGCCACCTGTCCCCACCCAGATTCCATCCCCAGGCGGCTCCTGCACTGCAGCTGGGCATGCCCTCCGCCCTGAGCCCTCGGGCACCTGCCCCAGGGCGTCACCTCTGATGGAGACCAAATACCAAATGCCCAGAGCCTGTGGGGGGCGGGTACAGGCCCTCCTGCTCCTAACGGGCGCAGGAACGGGCCACTGCGTGAGGTTAGAGGTCACCGGCCATTCTCAAGCTCAAAGGGCGGCACGTTCTCCAGAGTGGAGATTGCCCGTCTGAGGAGGCACCATGTGGGGGAGCAGGCCCTGGAGTTACCTGGGGTGTGGGTGTCACCCACGGTGGCACCCTCCTCTGCCCGCCGGGTGCACTCCCAGCTGTTCTGTGCAAATTAACACCCGCACTGCCTTCAGCTGCGCCAGGCACTCCCTGACCCCCAGGGGCCGGAGGGACCCCAGCCACCACAGTAACCACCATGTTGGTGCTGGGGTCTGCATCTGCCCGCCCCCCCCCCCCCTCCAGCACCGAGCAGGGCCTGGCACTCACCACGGAGGAGAAGCCAATGGTGTCCTGTCCCCGAGCTGCCTGGACTCGTTCCTCTGTGCTGCCCTCCACCAGCCCCGTGGCCCACCGGCATGTGCTCTGGGGACAGACAGCTCCTCCTCCAAGCCCCGCCCCCTGCCTAGCTCCCCCTTTAAAATCTCCAGTCCCCCTGACCATCACCTCTCCCCCTCCCTGTGTCCTGCTCAGTCTTCCCAGAGCCCAGGCCAAACCCTGCCCCTTGGGGTTCTCACCGTGGGACCCGGGCAGGCACTCGCCGCCTTGGATTCCCGGGAAACCACCTGCTTTAGAGGACTTGGAAGAGGTCAGAGTCCCAGGCCGGGAGTGAGCAGGCGGGCTAGGCGCTCGGCTTTCAGGGCTCCCACTCCCACCCAGGCTGCCACCTGGAGTTGGGGGGCAAAGGGGTGCCTTGCCTGCTGTGCTCTCTGCCCCCATCCTCTGCTGCTCTTGCTCACTCCAGCACCTGGGGAGGGGGCTGCCCCGGGAAGTCTTGTTCCTGCTGAATGGTGAGCCTGGCACTGGGAGGTCCGCGGGGAGAGGAGCTGCCCTCCCACCGCCCTGGGGCCAGCCAGCCCTCAGGACCCTCACGGGGCCCAGTGGACTCCCGTGGCCAGGCCTCGGGGGGGTGAGGCTTGGCCAGGCAGGAGGCCCACCCGTCCTCGGTCTGCTGGCTGGAGGCCAGAGGGATCAATGAGGACCTCCTAGGAGCCAGGGACCCCCTCCTCGGGGAGCCTCCCACCCTCCCCGTCTCCTCGGCTCCTGCCACTTCCCCTTGGGGTGCTGGGCAGCCTCTGCTCACCCTGGCATTCACCCCACCAGGTACAGCCGAGGCCAACATCCCAGAGCTGGGAGCAGGACCCCAAGAGGAGCACTCCTTCACTCCCTGCATCTGAGAGCCTGGTGCACCCCTGACTGCACCCAAAACCCAGGGTGCCCCCTCACTGAGTCCAGCTTTGGGCAGCAGCTCCATCCTACTCCAAC